TCCCATAATAGTTAGCAAGTCCTAAGAATGCTTGTAGCATTACTACATTTTGGGGAGTTGGCATGCTTTTGATCGCTTCTGCCCTTGCCGGATCTGGTCTTCTTCCATCAGAGTCTATTATCTGCCCCAAAAACTTAATTTCACTCATAAAAAATTCATATTTTTCAGCTGCAAGTTTGAATCCATATTCTTCAATTTTTTCAAAAACCTGATTAATATGTTCCAAATGTTCATTTCGATCTTTACTTTTTATCAAAATATCATCAAGATATGCAATGGCAAAGTCCAACCCTGCCAGCACTGTGTCCATAATTTGCTGAAAAATACTAGGGGATACTTTTAAACCAAAAGGCAGACAGTTTAATTTGTATAAGCCCTTGTGTGTATTGATAGTCAACAATTTAGAACATTCCTCGTCCACTTTCACTTGGAGATAGGCATCCGATAAATCCAATTTAGAGAATATTTTTCCTCCATTTAAACTTGCAAAAATGTCTTCTGGTGAAGGCAAAGGATATGTGTGGTCTTTTAAGCAATCATTTAGACCCGTGAGAAATCGGCACACATCCAATTTTATTATTCTTTTTCTTAACATATACAACAGGGCAGGCCCACTCTGAAAATTCAATGCGTGAAATAACTCCTAAATTTTCAAGCCGTTCCAATTCTTTGTTAATCTGTTCCAAAACACCAAATGGCACATTTCTTTTTCGCTTGAAAATAGGTTTTACATTTTCCTTCACTTCAAATTTTGCCTTTGTCTTTTTGCAACATCCAAGACCTTCTGAAAATACTTGTGGAAATTTTATTTTCAGATCTTTCACCAAATTTTCTGTAACCCGATTTTTACATGGAGAAGAAACATTAATTCTATTGCAAAAAGAATTTATAGGGAGTTCCCATAAATTAAAAAGTATAATCCAATCTGTTCCAAACAAATTTGAAGCATTTTGTAGCACATACACTTCCAGAAATCCCGTGAGCCACTTTTTCAGTCTTTTTAAGCAAAGGTCTGCCTATTTTAATCCATGTTGCTGTATTAATAATGGAAATATCACTTCCAGTATCTAGCTGTAGTTTAACATTTTTTCCATTAATTTTTACCTGTACGAATTTTCTTTTCTGCCCCTCCTCAATCTTCTGACGTGACAACACAATATTCACATTATCTTTTTTCGACTTAAATTTTTTTCTTTTGCTTTTACAATGAGTACTTATATGGCCTTTATTGCCACACGAACAGCGATTTTTGTCGCGAAAAAAGCATTCACTTTTAAAATGACCACCACCGCATCCAAAGCACGTTGGTTTTTTAATGTTTTTATTAACTATTCCTGTTCTTGGTTGAATAGCATGGACACGGGATACGTCTTTTTCTTCAATTTGCGTATTGTCATGTTTTAAGTTTTCAATTCTTTGACACTCTTCCGTGATCTCGGAATTTTGTTTGAGTTTTGCCAATATTCGGGACCTTATGTCCTTATCTTTGCTAGAAGTCAAGCCTTGAACGAATATCAAACATTTAAATCGATCAATTGAAAGATCATGTAACATAAAATGTTCACACATTCTGTTAACATTTCCAGCATAATGCAACATCCTCATCGTCACGCTTTACCATATTCAAAACACGAAAATGAGTATGAAATAAACTAACTCGCTCGCCAAAAATACTAGATAAAAGTATTAACAGTTTCTTCAAAAAGAAATGTCACCAGTTTTTCTTGGAAGGACAAAATTCAGATATTTATTATTTTCATCTGTACCCAACTTTTGTAAAAGTAAACTCACTTTTTGTTCATCAGTCCAACCTTCACATTTTTTTTCAAATATTGTTTCAAATCTTCTGAAATACGCAGGAAATGTTATGCCTTCCTCTGGGTTAAATTTGAACTCAGTAATAGAATTAGCAATACCTTCGCCGTGAATGACGGTTACTGGATTCTTAAGTAAAATTGCTTCATATAAAGCCTTTGTGTCATTTAAGCTGCTGAACTTGTAAATTCAATAGTTGTTCCCGAAACAATTTTTGTTGCTCTTGTTGCTGAATTTGACTTTGCAGTAGAGTTTTTCGTTAATGCAATCAAATCTTCCATTATGCGTAATAGATTACACAAAACACTTTTTCAAAACAGACAAAAAGGAAAAACAACGTATATATCCACAATAAGCACAAGTCTTACTTCTTTTTGGCACGTTGAAATCCCATTTCTTTGTGAAGAACAAAGTTCGACATACTTTGTTTTTTTGTTTTTTTTATTTTTTTTCAGAGCGAGAAGAAAAAAAAAAATTTATATAGTCCACCTAGAGTTGAAAAATTCTCCACTCAGCGTGATGAACGAATCTCTCGTCGCCACTGTTATGATGTTGATTTAGGGTTAGTAGAGACAAACGCCAAATAACACGTAACAATAAAAAGGGTTTTAATAGGTTGGTAAAAAAGGTACAGAAATCGCCTGAGTAGTCAATAACTAGCTCAGCTAAGAACTTATCTGTCTATCTGTCTCTTCCCATGTCAACTGACATGCCACTATTTAAAGTCTTTGTTCACAGACGCAGACAAGTTCATCTTCAAGAGGGGGTGGTAGGTTTCCAACAATACAATATATATATATATATATATATATATATATATATATATATATATATATATATCTCAGTTGTTTTTACCCTCTGTCTAATGCTCTGAGAATGACTGACATCACATTTCATAACTTCCTTGCCAAGATCAGCATACTTATCCATTTTTATACTTTACTTCATATTTACTTTGTAGTCTGTCACTGAAATCAGCTGCTATTTGCCATGTTCTTTTCTTCCTCTTTATGATAAAGTCCAGTCATCTGTCCTGGATTAAATGGTTTCTTTCAATTTCAATTGTGTGTCATCCTCTACAACTGATTCTGGTCTCTCTGTGGCATAATGATTTACATAATAAGTCTTATTTACACTATTTATATTTAGACTATTCATCTTTGTTCTTTTTATCATGTTTCAGCTATTGAACCTTCTGACCTTTTCTGTTCTCATTCAAGGGATATTATTTAGTTCTTATTTTATTGCTCGTGCAAGTACATACTGCCTGACCCAGGGATTGAACTATATCACCAAATTAACACACCAATGCTTTTATCCACTAGGCCATTCTCCCAAACAATTTGCTTAAGTAAATAGTGTCTTAAACCTAACCTGGCTGCTGATTAGGTTGCAACTGCTGGTGGTGGTCATGTTTTGACTGCTGCTGCTATTCATGTTTCCATTGTTGCTGCTGTGGTTGAAGACTTGCTGTCATTTGTCTTTCTTTCCTTATTACCTGCTCCCATATTGTATTTATTTATATGCTAGGTCTCCTAAGGAGGTCCTCATAGCCTATAGCACATGCACTGACTCATTTAAATTTCTAACTCTCCAGTTTTCTTCCTTGTCCAGTATTTTCACTTCATCCACAGTGGCGCATGACTACCCCTTTCCTTCCATACATGATCATAGGCCATACATTGATTTTATAAACCTATCTCTCACTATGGCGTTTCAGTGTTCCTCTACGCTTACTTTTAGTGGGCAGCTTGTTTCACCTTTATATTCTCTGCCACAACTGCAAGGAGTTGAGTACACACAATTTTCATATTCTCTCCCCCCACCCCCTGTGTGAGGCTTTACTCAGTGGAGATTTCTCTGTAGAGTGGAACTACTATTGAATATTGTCCTGATGTTGTATGGACCACAGATCTTCTGAATCTTTTCCAATAAACCCTTGGCATGAGGTTGGCAGACTGGCAATTTTCTGCTCTTGCTTCTTGTCCCTTTTATTCTCACCTGTAGATGCTGATATCATGTTTACCTGGTAATTGTTATGTTGAAGGATATGTTTGATGCTGATCATTTCTTGTTGGTATGTGTCTGGGTCACCACTTGTGATTTTTGCTCAGTGTGGTAGGCATTGAACAATTCCCTTTCTTCACACTGTATGGATGGTGGGAATTGAAGTTGAGGTATTGTCCATTGAAGGTTGGGTAGTGATATACAAATGTTTTAATCCCATTCTCTTGAAAGTTATTAGTACAACCAAGAAGATTAGCTGATTATTATTTTCTTCTTCTATTGTCAACTGGATCGAATGTTTTATTGAGTTCACATCGTTCAGCAGTATTCCTACAGCTTCCTGGTGTGGCCAGAGTGTGAAATGTGTCACTTATGTATCTCAGCAATAATGTTAACTTTAGTGGTGCCATTTTTAAAGCCATTTTCTTGAAGTATTCTATGTATGTTTTTCATCACTGGTGATAACAGTGAACCCATAGCCAAGCCCTCCTCCTGTTGGTATATGTCAAACACTAGTTGGAAGAATGTCTGTACACAGAATGTCAACATTTCCATTAGATCATCTATAGGAATGTTGGTATGTTCTCCCAGGGAGGGGGGGTGCTGATTCCAATTGTTTTTGGATAACTGTCAAGGCCTTATCTGTAGACACTCTGGTGAACAGGCTTACCACCTGATTATTTTATTATGGATCATAGTCCTTTGGATCAGTTTTATTAAGTTCGGAGTTTCTAGCATAGGATGAGGACTTCTCTGTTAGTAGGTTGACTATATCCACTAGGAATCTGCTCAGCGGGTGGCATGCTAAGTTCCTGCAGCTGACTATAGGTCTCAATGGAATACCAACTTTGTGAATCTTGGGAAGGCCATACATTTGCAGCAGCTTGGCATAAGGCTATATATGTCTATACTTATTCAGTGTTAAGTAGTCCTTGTTTTTATTTAGGATTTGTGGCAACATCCTCTACATTTTTAGGGTCGGATCCTTTTTCACTTTGTATAGCTGCCATCCCCACCTAGGCCTGCCAAGTTTTTGGAATATTCCAACTTATTCATCACCAATGAAGTGTTACCTTTGTCAGCTCGAAGTATGATGATACCAGTGTTACTCTGTAAGGTCTTAATTGCCAACCTTTCTTTTTTTGTGATGTTTAAAATTTCTTCCTTCATTTTAATAGGTTTCACAGTCATTTCCCTGATAAGGACATTGCACTGAACCAGATGTCTAGAGAAAGTGGCAAAGACGAATGGGGTATACTGTCATTGATGTTAAGTGACTTTTACTCTGACAGAAATCATTTATGGACACAGGCTTTTGTTGCACAAGTAAACTTACTTACTGTGAAGACAGTATGCACTAAGTGCAGTTGTCTCAGCTCCTGCCATAGATGTTCAAACAAGACCTGTAACAATACACAATTCTATGTGTCTGTTTATGGGGGGTAAGTATTAGATACATGCAAAAGTTTTCAGCTCCTGATTTGGAACTTTTTAAATAAAAAAAAAAAATGATAAAATGTGCACACATATAAGTAAAACCATAGAATTTTTCTGTTCCATTTTTTTATATTTATCTATAATTAACCAAAAATGTGTTAATATGCAAATTCTTTTTTTTTTTTTTTTTTTTTTTAGAATATATGTTGCCTCAATATTTTATCATTCATATTCAGTTATTACTGTAATTTATTTTACATTGTAGTTATTTGCTTAATTTTTACTTGATAATGATCTATATTCTGTAAACAAATTAAAAATGGGCTGGAAAAACATCTGTAAACACAGACTTAATTTCAAACAAAACATCTGTAAACATAGACTTAATTTCAAACAAAACATCTGTAAATATAGACTTAATTTCAAATTTAGTTACAGAGAAAATACTTTATTGCAATTATCAGTTAAGTTTTATGTTTTTACAATTATGTTGAAATTTTGTTCTTTTATAATACAAAATGCAAATGTCATTTGCATAAATTATATTGTTAAGATTGTGGCTGCCAATAGTGAATACTGGTAGGACTTTTAATTTTCTCAGAATCTCCTCCTCTCTGCATATTATTCTTTTTTATTTTAAGAAAGGTAATTAATTTATGAAGAAGATACTGTGATTATTCAAATGTGTTAAAGGTGGTTCACAAAGCATTATGCTGGAGATTTCTTGTTGGATAAAAAGCTACATTGACAAAATAAGCCAGTTGAGGTTGGTAGTGATCAAATAAAGACATTCTTTTAAAATAGCATATGAAGAGATAGTATACTGAAAATTATCCAAATCAATTGTTGAAAATCATTTGCACCAGATTAGTGATGTTAATTGTTTTGATGTGTGGTAGCTTTCACATGAGTTTAATCAAAAAAAATTATCAGCTTTTTCTTTAAATTTTTGAAACACATTGCAATGAGTGATGTAAAGTGTATACTTTTTAACAACATGGAATTCAAGAGCTTATGGAGCAAGCAAAATGAACCAATGCTAACAAGACCAAAGGCTTCACCCAAGTAATGTTAATGTGGTGGAATTGGCATGGTGTTTCTACTAAGATATCCTTCTAAACAATCAAATTATCAAATTGAATAAGTATTGCTTCCAATTAAACCAATTATTGTCAAAAAGTATCTGGAATTAGTTAACTAAAAAGATTGTACTATACTATGTGTTTCTTTGGTGATTAGACAAAAATGATTACAGCTTGGCTAAGAACTTCACTCACCTGTTTTTTTCATGGTTGTGTTATTTATTCTGAAATTTAGAGAATTCTCTTAGGGGGAAAAATTTACTTGCCTAGAAGATTGCAAAAGGCACATAGAACAGTTCTTAGCTGAGAAAAATAAAATTTCTGGGCAAATGCATTTATGAAGTTACCTAAAAACTGCTAGAATATTTTGGAACAAAATGGTAATTATCTTTTTCAGTAATGTAACATCAAAAAAATAAAAAATTCATCTTTAATAATTTTTACTTAATAAATCAAAAACACATTTTTTTCCAACCCATTAACTATATAATTTTATATATATATATATATAATTTTGTTATTGTATTAAGTTTGTTTCTTTCTATAAGACATTATGAGTTGATTCTAGTTTTTTGCATTATTGATAGTCTTTTACTTGATGATGGCACCTCTATGGTTTGTGCTTGCACTTGGCAGGAGGAATTACTCCTTCAGATCCTTGATTTGTCTATGACCCAGTGGAAGGATCTTGTGGATTTGATCCATTCCAAGGGGGGGAAATTTTGTTTGGAATCAAAAGTAAGTACCAAAAGGCTTTTAATCTGTATGCAAATTAGTCTGGAATTCATTGTCATGTCTACTATGGTCTTAAGCCAAATTGAAATATAACATAGGCATAGACTGACCAATAAGATAGGTCATTGAATTTGTAATAAACTGTTAGACATGACTGACAAGGGACATAATAAGTAAAAATATGATTAGTGTGTAGATTTTTGTGTAAAGAATTTGTTTATCTACTTTTCATTTCATATTCAACATATTTCCATTATTTGAAACAAAATATAAATAAACTGGCACATGTCTACTTTAATTCCATTACAAACAAGAGGTAACTATAGTTTTATCAATATTCAAATATTAGGAATCAATATGAAGATACTTTTGATATGTGATGACTTAATAGTTTTCTTTGTAATATCTTATGAATTTATTCTAGGTTATTATTATTCGTACATTTTCTGCTTCAAAAAATATTCTTTTACTATAGAAGTGTTAAGGGTTCTATTGTCATATCCAGGTTAGGAGATTTTGAAGAGCATGGAATCACCTCTTAATTATTGTTGTTGTTCCTAGGTTCACTCTAGTCAAATAGGGAACACACTCCCAAACAAAAATCAGTACATTTTTATAATAAAATGAGCGACAATACACTTTTATAGCAAAATAACAATGCAACATTAAAGAAATGTAAAAATACATTTTTATAGTAAAATTACCAACAATACATTTTATGATCTACAAACTATATATCTAAAAAAAACATACCTTTACTCAAAATATTAAATTATGTACAAAATATATTCAGTTGAAGCCATAAAATTGCATTCAAAATATTTAGACTTCAGCATTAAATAACTGATAGAGGTTGATATGACAGTAAAGAAACAAAATCAACAAAAAGAATTTCATAATTAATTTGTTCAAACTGGATCATAACATAGAATCTTTTGTAGCAATGAAAGAATAAATTAATGAGGTTCTGAATTTAAATTCTGTTTACACACATACACACACTGTTAAATATATAAAGAATAATCAATGAAAAAGAATCATTTCATATTTCTTTAATATGTTAATTTTTAGTAATTTAATTTCTAAATTTATATAATTTAAATTTTTAGGGTAATCGCATTTTTCCTGATATCACAAATGTGGAAACTAGTGTCCATCACTTCGTTACTCTGCTTTGTGACAATCCATTGGTCAAACGAAAATGGTGGATAAAGTTGAAACGAAAGACACCTTTTGCAGCACTGACATATGAAAAACGTGAGTTTTTGACTTTTAAAAGTCATAGAAGCATTTTTAATGTTATTAGATAATTTTTCTTTTAACAAGCATTGTTTTTAGTAGAAGTCTGAAAAATACTGAGTGAAAATAATCGACAAAAATATTGTAGCAATAAAATTATATACTTTTTCTTACCTGCACATTCAAGGGCAAGTAAGAAAGAAGTATATAATTTCATTATCATTAGTGTTTTGATAAAGTTTATTTCTTTTCACTTTTCTAATAATTGTCTACTTGATAGCGTGTTTAATTTTGTAGAAAATTGTATTTAACTTTTATAAAAAATAAAGTTATTTTCTAACTGAAAATACTCAAACATAGCTTTGTTCTGAATAACTGTTAAAATCATGAGAGGATTATATTCATCGTTATCAACACATTTTTATTTTGTGTGGTATGCTTGTGAATATGTGTTTGTCTGTTGATGGGTTATCAGCATTTTATCAACTAAATAAACTTTAAAGTTTTGATGTTACAAATGAATCTGATATTTCTATTGTACCTATTCAATCATGCAAAATTGGAGTTGTGATCAGTGTTATATAGTCATGCATCAGTTTAGATGTTCTCTCTTTTCCCTTTTGAAAACATACTTCATGTTTGAAATTAGATTTAACTTTTTATCTTAAAGCTGTAATGACTTTATTTTTCTATTTATCAACGTAATATGTATTAATCTTCATTTTGTTCAAAAGAAGTGAAAAGAAATTTTTAAATATTTTAATTGGAGACATTTGAGAACATCTTAAAATTTGTAAGCAGTTACAAAAAATTTGTATTTGTGTATTTTTAGATTTCTTTCATTGGTTTTACTTTTTTATGAAACTTAAAATAATAATTCTTGCTACATTCATTTCTATATTTTTATTTTAAACTAAATTTTCAACATGAGAAGTACAATGTTGTGTTAAAATCAACAGGTACGAACATATAGAAACTTCTACAGAATCTATGTTAATGGATTCAATAGGACATATTTTTGCAAAATTTTTGAAGTGTTCTATACTTTTTCATTTGCCAATACTCACCTGGAAAAAGTGAGTTAATTTGACTTCTATAGATATTAATGTACCTGAAAATCCTGTATATTATTGATTTAAATCTGGTCAATATTCTGTAGCTTTGTGTCTTTTCCTGATAAAGTTGATACCAGCATGAAAAGCATACTTTTCTGAATAGAGTGAAAGCAAATGACTGCTAGCATATCACATCTCAAATAAAGAAATGAAATACACTTGTCAGAATTCAAAATTGATTTTGTCTGTCATTTCTGCTGTATTTTTAGTTTGTTCACTACCAACACATGCATCATTTAATATATAAAAATTGTGTGCTAAACAGTGAGGCAAAGATAATAAAAGTGAATGAAAGAAAAAAGAAGGGAAATGGGAAGAATAAATTCATTGAATTTGGTTCCATTATTTATCAGTCTTATTTTTGCAAATAAGAAATTGAGGAAAGATATTAAGATAAAGTAAAAATGGATTATTGTCAACTAGAAAACAGGAAATGAGCAGGTTAAATGTCATTAGGCATATGTGAAACAAGGTGGCTAAACAATGGAGATGTTGTCACTGAACACAGGATTATATATGCAAATGGAAAGAAAAATGAAAGAGGAGTAGGATTAATACTAGACTAAGACATGAAGAAATGTGTTCTGGGATACTGTCAATTATTGGAAAGAATTCTTGTTAAACTGAAAGGAAAGATTTTCAACATAGGCATTATAGTTGTGTATGCACTGACAGTACAAAGTACAGAAGAAGAAATTGAAAAGTTCTGCTATATGCTAGACAATGCCAAGGCCTAATGTAAAGCATAAGAAATTATAATTGTCATGAGAAATCTGAATACCAAAATAGTCAATGAGAAGGAGGGTGAAATGGCAAATTCAGACTAGACACCCACAAAGAACATGGAAAAAAATGGGTCCAATGGTGTATGGCAAATGATCAGGTAGTAGCCAACACCTGTTTTCAAGAACACTGAAGATGAACATGGAGAAGACCAGGAGGAGAAATGAAAAATCAAATCGACTACATAACTATCAACAAGAGCTTCAGGAATGCAGTTGTACACTGCAAAACCTATCCAGGTACTGTCTATGGAAGTGATTATCTCCCAGTTATATGTAGAATTAGAGTGAAACTGCCTATCACAAATAAAGCAGATATGCATAACAAAAATAAGAGAACTAACAAAACAAAATACATGCCCGTCAACAGGATACATAAAATCAAAGGTTGGAGCAATGATACCAGAGAAAGAAAAAAACACTTCAGAGACTGAACAAATATATTGGAGAACTTTTCCATGATGAAAGAGAACAATTGGCAATACACAGAAATATCGATGGATTGGAAAAGCCAAAATGGAAGTAGCACTGGCCAAATTGAACAGAAACAAAGCAGCAGGGCCAGATGGAATTGTAATAAAGATACTGGCAGCCTTAGTCGATTTCGGCATAGATAAGATTACAGAAATAATAAATTAAATCTACAACAGTGATGATATACTGGAAGACCTAAGTAGATCTATTTTCATAGCATTGCCTAAGAAACCAAGCAATATTGGACAATCAAATCTAACAAAAATCATCATCCGAATTCTGATGAATAGAGTGCACAGGAGAATCAGACCAGAGTTAGAACAAGAACTATGCAGGTTCATCAATGACACTGGAACAAGAAACACTATATTTATGCTCAGAATGTTATCAGAAAGAGCAATACAAATGCAGAAGGATGTGTACCTGTGCTTTATAGACTATGCAAAGGCATTTGATAAAGTACTCCACAAAGATCTGTTGGAACTACACAGCAATCTGGGCATATTTGGGAAGGACGTTAAAATAATTAAGAAACTATACTGGCAGCAAACTGCTTGCAGATGTACAAAACTAGAAAGGGGTGTAAGAGAAGGAGGTGTCTTCTCACTGGACTTATTCAACCTATACAGTTAGACAATTCTGAGAGAACTGGAAATCCTACCAGGATTCAGTATTGGCAGCCACATTCTTTACAACATAAAAATATGCAGATGAAACAGTGTTGATAGCAGACATAGAAAGAAAACTACTAAAGCTCCTAAAGAAGGTAGTGAAAGAAAGTGAGAAGAAAGGACTAAACATAAACTGCAAGAAGACAGAATACATGGTTGTTAGCAAAAGGATCAGCCTAAAATGTAAATTACAAATCGGAGATACCAAAATCAACCAAATACAAAAATTTAAATATCTGGGAAGTTTTCTAACAGAGGATGGAAAATGCAACACTGAAATCTGAAGACATATTGGGATAGCTAAAGATGCATTCCAAAAGCTAAGCAGAGTATTAAGAAACAGAAAATCTTTGTTAGAAACAAAAAAGTACTGAACTGTTACATAATATCTGTCCTCCCATATGGCAGTGAATGCTGGACAATTTCCTGAAAGATGAAGAAGAGACTTGAAGCAAAAGAATGTGATTCTACAGAAAGATGCTGAGGATGACATGGACTGAACATAGAGCAATGATAAGGTTTTAGAAAAACGAAAGGAAATTTATACTTAAAATCAGGAAGAAATAGTTGAAATTTCTGGGGTACAGGAAGGAGGACGTGGAAAATCTGTTACTCACAGGATCAATTAAGGTCAAGAGAGACAAAGGAAAACAATGCATAAAATACTTGACAAGCTTAAGAAAATGAATGGCAGAATAGGGTTTAGAAATAATGAAAAGACAGAATTTATTTAGAGCTGCAAGGGACAGGAACTTGTGGAGAGCCATGATTGCCTATGTCTTGTGAGGACACAGCATATAGAGAGACTCAAAAACTCTGATAACTAATCATTTAGGCTGTATAGAATAAAATTATATCTGTAGCATCTTCAAACTGCAGAAGTTGGTAGAAGATGATTGCTGAATGGTGAATATTCTTGGTTTTGATTTTTTATACAGGAAATAATTTTTTCAAGGAATCAAAAACATTATGGAAGATTTCTTTTACAAAGTTTGAAAAGTTAACTGTCAAAATGTAAGATTCATTTTTCTTTTATAAGTCTAGCAAGAATAATATTGTTTCCTGTAAGTGTAGCATACTTGTAAAATCTATATTTATCCATAGTTTGGTTTTGTAATTTAGGCATTTTATACACTAACAAGGTAAACATTTCTGGTAGCAGAGAAAAAAAAAACTTATTTGTAATTTTTAACTTACAGTTTGTTTTATCAAATTTTAGCACTCAATCTGTATGTAATGATTGAAAATCAGGAAGAGATTGTCACTGGTCAAGAATTAAATTACATACAGAATAGGTCATTGCTAAGTATAATTTTACATGGTTCATGATTTATGCTATGGTTTTGTGTAATAAATACCTGGTTTCTGATTGATACAGGATTTTTATATTAAATATGTTTTCTGTTTTGGATAAAAAAAATTCAAGTGAAATGAAAGTGGGAAGATAATAGAAATGTATTTTATTCATACAAAGATCAATAAATTTTATTTTTTCATTGGTTTTAAAAGTTATTTTTATTTAGTATAGCTATTTCTCAAGTTAAATTAATTTTAATAAATTTTAAAAATTTTTCATAAGCAAAATGCAAATATTTTTTCTACACACAAAGATTTTGTGCCTATGATACTTTTTTTTCTCTTGTAGGATTTCCTTGCTGTGAAATTGGATTTGTAGTAGGTAAAATCAAAACCAAATGTTTACCATTCCTGCAAGTGGAAATTCTATCCATTCAAGAAGATCCACCATTCGACATTTTATCAATTTAACTTATAAAGATTCCAACATAGTTCACTTGAATCTATTCTTTGTATAATTGCCATTATTAACACATTTCATCAGATTTATTTTTCAGCCTTTGTCAGGTATAATTTATGAGAATAAAGGAAACCACATTAACAACAACAATGATGAATTATCATCTTCAATAATCATGATATTTTTATTTGAACTGATAATCATAAAATATTTTAGTGAAATAATTATTTTGTAATAACTTGATTATTTCAATTGTGGTGTATTTGCTAAAAATGACAGAACATTGTTTACTCTAAGCAGTTCTGGTATAATTATGTAGGTTTAGGCTCCATTATAGACTTCTTTTATTTATATTTGGCTGTTATTTTTTATACTTGTGCTTTGAAAAGTATTAAATTTTACCATTGGAATACTAGTAAGCATTTGTAAATTACTTCTGTAAGGAGGCATGGTGGAGTAATGGATTGCAGCTCGGATTGAGGAATTGGTAGAGCCAAGTTCGAATACCAGTCGAATCCATTACATTCACTAATACCTTTGGGAAAGGGATGAATCCTCTTCTTCTCCCCCAGCTATGGGTAAGTAGCAGGACAGAACGGGTTCTATAGCCTTGGATGGTAACTGGTCTACCACAGAAAGAAATGGCAACCTAGTGCAGGAAAAAATCTGCCTCGTCAGCATGTATCATGCATAGCACACAACTAACTGACTGAATAAATATATACTTGAGAGAAATGTATTTGTTTACTCTGGCATTTGACATTATATATTATCAACTGTTTATAACTTGTAGAAAACATATTCCATTAATAAATAAGCAAAAACAACAATAAAACAATAATAATTGAAGGATTTTAATTTTTAGATTTTAGTCACTGTTGTGATAAAATGTGCATGTAATTCTAAACAATTAGAATTGATTTTAAAATAAATATTTGAACATACCCTGAATTGATAATGGACACATTAATTTTCTCCTGTTATGGCTAAGAGTAATCAAGAGTACAGTAGATAATGATTGACATTGCATTTAAATTTTTAAAGATCAAAGTTGACTGGAAAGCATTGAGCTGAAAGAGCATTCGGCAAGTGAAAAGTGTGAGAGAAGAAACTGTTAGCATGGTTATATCTGTCCAATTCAACAGTGAATTGATGAGACCTTACCATCAATCTAGTACTGCATATAATTCATATAGTCTAGGTACCATAGCAAAGCGTTCATCCGAACAGTTACCATGAAGGTATTTATAGAAAAGGCACAGGGAAGCTACATTACAGTGGTGAAAAAGTGACTGAAGCCGAGATGCCAAATCAGAACTAATAATATTGCTGATTCTTCTTTGGATTTTATCAAGAATCCCTAGATATACAGCAGGAGCACTGGACCATATGTGACAGCAATATTCATGGCATGGATGAATGGTAGACTTATAAATATGTAAGGTAGATTCAGTGAATCAACTTTCTTAGCAGCTGACCCAGCAATGGATTCAGTATGATTGTTCCACTTCATGAGAATGTAAACCTGAAAAGGTGCAACCAGTCACTTTCATGGAGGTTAGTATCAGCCATGCTGATGGAAGGCATGGAAGCATTAATGGCCCAGTCTGTTGTTACCTGGAGCAAAGAATGGCTTGTTAAAGCCATTCTTTGCTCCAGGTAACAACAGACTGGACCATTCTTGAGATCAGCTGCCGATTTGACCTTATCAAACTGATAAGGAGTAAATTATCTATAAAGTAAAAAATAAATCAATATATGTATATATATTGATTTATTTATTTATCTTTTATCTATTATTTTTTATTTAAAAAAAAAATTATTTTACTTTATTTTATTTATGTTGGATATTATTATTGTTATTTTTATTAGTGTTATCTTTATTGGACTATGAAATTTAAATTTGTGAGAAATTTTGCTGCCTAAAATAACAGGCTCTATTGGCTGTAACCGTTTCAAGTCCAATCACACACCACATCACTCAATGTACAAACTTGTTGAACCCTTTAAGGAAAAAAAAATTCTTGGCCAGGTCAATTCTATTTTTAGTTTTACTACTATCCCATCATTTATTTTTTTCTTTTTACCTTCTTTCATCCTCTCACTCTCCCTCCTTCTATCATTCCTCTCTCTCTCTCATGTTTTAAAAAAAAAATTATTTGAAAATCTGTTATTTTTCTTTCTTCCACTTCCCCTTTCTTCTCCTCCTGTTAATCTAGTATATTTGTTTGGATAAATTATCTCCATTTATTAAGAACTTTTGGTCTGAAGAGATGAATATAAAAATATTCACAAAATAAATTATAAATGAAATTGATCCTTTAAGATTTTTTTCTTGATTTATTATTATTAATGGTATAGGAACCTCTACAAAATTGCTAAAAAAAATGAGCATATTGTGATGAAAAAATACTCCAATCTTAATGAAAACAAAGTTTTATTGTTAAGGTCTTTGTTATTATTAAGAGGAAAAATTAAAATAATTTTTGAATATTTAATTAAAATTTTTAATCATTTTTAGAACATTCGAAATTTTGGTTAAAAATCTTGTTTTTCTTGCATCAGCAGATGTACTATAAATTAGCATAGCAAATTTTAGTGTCTTTTTTGTGATGAAAGGCACATTAATTTGGAAATTCTTGTAAAGATCAAATAATTGTTGGATATTAATGAAACTTTCAGGACTTATTCACAAATGAATGGATTTATTTTAGAAATGTACTTTCTAGAAAATCTTGGTAATTTTTTTTTACATGTGTTTCACCCACTTGCTTAATTTCATGAAAATTTGAGAAATTAAGTGTGATAATTTTTAGTGACAATATTTAGTTAAAAGCAGAGCTCTTTTGAGAATTTAAATCATCAATGTTTTTCATAAAATTTGACCCCATCTTATGAAAAATCTGCTCTGAATCGTAAAATAAAAAATGAAATAAAACTGAGACATTATTTAATCATAGAAGCTTTTAATTGCTTTTATGTATAATATATGTTAAGGACGATATTGTCTTAAGAATAAAAATTTTCAGTGAAAAGTGAATTTTTACAAAATTTGTTTTCACTTTTTTACGATTCAGAACAATTAATATTTTTAAATCTCTTAAAATTCAGTTTCAATAGTGTAACTCTTAGGAAATATTGTTATAAATGAAAACTATAATTACCAATCATATATCATAAAGCTTATTACAATCTGATGACCCTGAGTATTTTTAAAAGAATTTTGAATTGATTTTGTATGTGTATAAACAAGCAGATTTTTATAGATATGGTTGCCCATACATGACAGAAAATAGGAGTGATAATTATAGTAAACTTAGAGCTGAAATTCTCCAAAATTCAATAAAACATTAGATTAAAGAAAATATTTTCTTAACTTTTTACAAGTAAAATTAAAAGGTGTCTGCATTATTTTCCTCGGTTATTTGTTTACAAGTAAAGCTCCCATAGAACAACATTAAGTAAAAATTGAGCTGTCACAGAGCTGTTAAAATGCTGTCAACATAAATAAACAAGCTACTGTTGACTTAAAAAATGCATTTCTGTGGTATTTTAAATTTAAAGTAAAAAATAGTTTCAAATCAAATTAATTATACTTTAAATCAGCTAATCAAATGAAGTTTTAGAAAAAGATATTTTATTTTTGTAAGATTTTTTATAAAGAGGTTTGCTAAAATTCAGATGTTTTAGAAATTTAATTAAATTAGTTTTGAAATACAGTGTAGTTTTTTGTTTTATTGGAAATATTAAATTTAATCTATCAGCTTGAAATTGAAACTAAAAAGAAAGCTTCAGGAAAGATTTTTCATTATTAAAAATTCATTTTAAACATGAGGTATCACGTTTTTTTGGAGGTACATATATATAAGTATAACAATTTCCTGGTTTGTATTATTATTCATCTGAAGTGTTTTGATACATTCTGGTTAGGTTGCTTGGATATAAATGACAAAGCTGAGATGATCGCTTTTTCTCTTAAACTGTCATCAATATCTTGTTATTTCTTACTTCAAAAGATTGTTTTATATTCATTAGGTTCTATGTCTCATCCAGCTTGTGTTAACACTATTTTTATACAAACTTTTGTTATGTTAAACAAGACTTTGACATATTTTTTTCCCAAAACCCTGAAACATGAGCAACCCAACTCATCAAGTTTATGATAGAATCAATTTGATTTTGTAGCATATATAATTTTGATATTGTAAAAGTAATGCTGCCTATTTTCATGGGAACTGCAGGAAAGAAAGTGCAATAACACTATTGGATTGAGGAACTTTTCAAATACAAAATGCCATTGTTTCAAATAGTCCCCATGATTGGCAATGCATTTTCACTAGAGCCTACATGCTGTAACAAGGCTTTCAATGTTGACCTTTGGCATCAGGAGCTAATATAATAAAAAAAGAAAAAAAAAAGAAAATTTCAGAATGATCTGCTTAAGAACACGACTATATGAGTGTCAGTTTATTAATGCTGGTTATGGTTTGGTATAAAAAAACTATCTTTTTTTTTATGTTCAACAATTTTACTCACAAAATTTATGTGAAAAGAAAATGTTCCTTTTTAATAATTCATTTCATTTTAATAAAATGTTAAATATTTGATTTACGTTAGGTCACATAGTGTTAATTTATATTTTATTTTGATGACAATTTGTGGGAAAGCAATGAAAGCGTCAACATATGCACATATACAAGCTGTAACCAAATTAATGAATAATCTTCTTTCATCCTGAGCTAAATGATTCTTGCAAAAGAATCTTCATTTATTAGGTTGCCAACTTTTTAATGTAAATACTCTCATTCTTTAGCATATAAGATGAACTGGTATATAGAACTCTAAATTCAACATATTGGTAAAAATGAAATTGAGGGAAATCTAGAGCCTGAAACAATCATCTTAGAAAAAGATTTGTAGATTCCAGGTTTAGCTCTAAGTTTGATCTCCACTCTGTAAGATAATTGGAGGTGAAATTATGCAAAATAAGTGCATCTTATATCCTGAAAAA